GCCGATACCTCGGCTTCTTTCAAGAAAGAGCTGAACAATTAACTACTAACTACTAAATGGGCCAGATGGGCTGAATGGCCTCCTCTTGTTTAAAAGAAATTTTAAATGTTTAACATTCATCACAGAAATCAGTGTTTTGTTTGTTTTCTTGCTGTTTTCTTTTGCGTATTTATTTTTTTAAATAGTGAGCTTTTGAAGATTGTGAAAATAAGAATGACAGAAATTAAATTAAAATATATATATTTGTAGTCAATATTGAGTATGGTCAATTTAATGTTTCTCTTTTCTCTGGATTCTTTTCTCTGCATTGAAAATGCATTATGTTTCTAATCTCTGCATTTTGATATAGTATGTATACAATCCCTTTGCCCCAAACCAAATATAAGAGACAATTAAGACAATAATTTTCCTATACAGGCAGCCAAGGTCTCCTTTCAAAGTGATGGAGCAATATTGAAGAGATATTATATCACTTTTGTTATTTCCTAAGCAGTCACTGAGGGCCTCACTGGCTGTTTGGTCACTTGCTGTAGCACAGCCACGATAATTGAGTCTAGCATGTCATATTGTCTCTCTCCCCTGGAACTCTCCAGAATAGTATGCCTGCAGTGAAAATAAACCAAGACCTGGACACAAGACTTAATAAAATGGCTTATATTAGGCATCCCTGGATTTACTGTTTGTAATATCTTAAATTTCACATCAGCATTACCACCTTATACTCCAAAAGTGAATGGTAATCTATATCCCTATTCTAAACTACATTACCAAGTAGGAAAGGACATCTTTAGCCTGAGGATTCCAAGATAGAGAATTCTGGATTTCCTCTTTTCCTCTGGAAATCAAGCTCTTTAACAAGGTTCAAATTATTTAGCAAGAATCTGGTCTCTCTCGTCTGGCTTGCTTCTCTCACCCTCCATTAATTCTCTACTTTCTTCTGTTTGTTTTCTGTTTCTCTATTTTTGTGCCTTGATCTGCTGAAGACCCTTAATGATTTATTAAGGAGTTAATTAACTAGAGTAAACCAGAAGATTCTCTTTTATCCTTTGTTTACCAGCCTTTAAGCTCAGCTGCAACTGAGTAAACTGGAACTCATTGATTTTAAATTTCATGACACCTCTCCAGACATAACAATATTATTGCCAACACAACTGGATTATTCTTATTATTTGCCAAGGATGAGCAGAGATTTTGCCATGTCTGTAGAACACAAGCAGAATCTGAAGGTAGAGCATTTACTGCACACGTACTATTAATCAATCAACAAAGCACAAATCCTTAATTAGGAGCAACTGATTGAATTGATGTACAGACAAGCATGTGGAAAGTGGATGAATTAAGCAGATGCTTGCATTGAGATATTTATGGAGTGGAAAACTTTATCGTAATAAATGTTAGGCTAAATGTTAACATTTTGTCTTTGTACATCATCCCAGGGTGATATCAGTGCAAAACACTGTTTCATTAAAAAGAGATCTTTATTAAATTCCATTGCCAGGAGCACTTTAGAAAGAACAGAGTTCATGTCAATATACAAACAGAGAGAGCAAAGGTTTCTTCAGAATCAGTGGGCCGCATGCAGTTTTGCTTGGCTACACATTTTGACCTTTAGCCACACATCCATGCCACGAATCTGCACTTCGCTGCATTGCTGCGCACTCCACTGCAGGGAAACATCTGGGAGAAGTGGTTAGAGGAGTAAAGCAGTGGGAACACAACTTCCTCTTTCATTTAGATAAATCATCTACTGTGGGTGTACTCTGAATGTCTGTTTTTAAATGTTTTTGTTTGGGGGGGGGTAGTGTGGCTCTTAGCTCTGATGGCTCATCATATTACTATATTGTTCTGGGATCCTAAATTTTTATGGGGTTCTGCCATTTTTTCTGTCTTATTGACTGAGGCAGTCAGCTTCAACTGTTGTATTATTGGTCATTGAATTGCTAATTTCCAGGTAGCTTGGTACAGGGCAGCCATATTTTGTGCAGTTCTTCAACCACTGGCTTAAGGCTCAAGGAGGTGAAGAAAGACTTTCTAAGTCTTAACAGTTGCAGTAACTTAACAGCTAAAACCCAGCCTCCTTCGCAAACAGTTGTAGTGTGCTACTCTGGAGAAGTGGATTCTGCAGTGACCCTCATGTTGTAATGCCTTGGGTGTACATTGTGTGTCCTCAGTCTTCAAAACTGTCAGATTAAATTCTTGCAATCCTCTTGCATTCACACTCTGAGCAAAGGACCTCCAAGCCAGCCTCACATTGTTCACATTGCAGGCTAATATAGATTTATTCAGTCTAAGCACAGTTGTAGCTTTAATAAATCAGCTAATTTCATGGCCCGGTGACCAGACAAACTCTTTTGTAAATAGCCAGGTCCTGTCATTTTTACAGCATTTGGAGTGACACAGAAGGATGCCTTATTGGAAACAACGAGGGTGGAAAAGGCCCTTCTAGTCATTTCTTGCTGATCTTCTTTTAAATATTGAAAAGTGAATAATATCAATGAAGTGAAACAGTTGGGAAAAGGGTGTTGTAAAACAAAAAGAATGGCAACACAAGAGTCTTGTGGGAATGCGTGGGAGTACTGATCACATATTCTACAACAACCCAAATCTTATAAACACAATAAATACCACGCCCTAAACAGTTACAAATACCTCCTGAAAGCATTTAGCTACAAAAATATTATTAAAAATAATATCGGGAACAAATGCAGAAGACAAGGCAGTTGGTCATGTGAAGTGAAGAAACCCACTGTCTGTTGGTGTTCAACAGACACAGCAAGGCCTGAGGGTCACAATTTAGCATCACAGCACTTTGCTTCAGCTGTAGCTGAAGGTGTCGTCAGGTATCTGCAGGCATACCGTCATTACCCTTGAAGTGTTTATGGGTCCTAAGGTGGGTTAATCCTTAAACTAGTCATCTGTTTCCGGTAGGTAGAGGATGTTGGTAGATTTATCCGAAACATGTATGGATTTCATGATTTGTGGGTACATAAGGTGGGAGTGACCCTAAAAAGTGTACCACTTGACATATCTGCACAACAGACTGAATACTGTATATGACAAAAGCCTGATGAAAGCTTGTTTGTATTGAATACAGTTTATCGCCTGAAGTCACAGAGATTGCTTATTGCAATACTGTGTTCATGGGATGTTCTGCAGAAGAACCACTTTTTCAAACCTAATGCTAACGTTTTGTTGAAGAACATTCTTTGGGTTTATTTTTATTTCATTTGTTTGTATTTGGTGAACATAAGGTTTGAAGAACAGCAATTTCATATGACCTCAGTTTTTAAATATTTCTGTGGATATCCATCAGCTGTGGAGTTTGTGAAAAGTGTGTAGTAAATGCAAAGCAATTCATGGAATGCTGAAAACGCTACCAGTATAGTCCTTTCTTGGTATGGAATGCCCCGGATTTGGCTATTTGACCAGTCTGGAGGAACACAGTTCAACTGGACAGCTTCAACAACAGGCATCTCCTGGCCAAACAGTTTCTCTCTGAGAAAATAATACAGCTGTGTTAAATTACAGGGCAGCTTCTTGTTAATTATAGCAATTTATGTCATTGTTTCCGAAAATACACCAGTGTTAAAAGCATTAGTTAACCAGTTCTTATTTACTTACCTCATTCATTTAAAATGTCGGTACAAAAAATATAGTGGTTGAATTTGTCAAAGTTGGCAGGAGTAATTTTCTGTGAAGTAGTTCCTTACTGGCTGTGTATCTGATTATATATGATCTGTCTAATCTTACATTTTTGTGTCCTTTTTCATTTGATATTTTTCATACCAATTTATTCATTCAAAATTGGCTCTGTGGAAAAGACACATAAAAGATATTTTTAAAAGCTTGCATGGGGAAGCAACTGTGTGTGACAGTTTTCAGGGAGCAATTGTGGAACACATTACTGATACACTTTCTGTCATTTAGTTTTGACAAATCTTTTCTGAAATCTTTTTGTTGGAATCAGTAATTTACATGGACTGACACTCTATATAGTACAAACAGCAAGAGAACAGATGAAAAAAAATGTAATTTCATTTCAAGAGAAAAAAACAATGCTAACTAAATGCGAAAAACATAATTATTTTTCACATCTTTCAAAAACAGGCAATTCAAATTACATTTTGGAGTTGTTCTTGTTCAGAAATTAGTATGGCAGAAAACGTTTTGGGAATATGTGCTTGTGTTTGAAGGCACCGCAGTAAGTCATGGTATTATACATCCATCCATTTTCTAACCGCTTCATACAGTACAGGGTTGCGGGGCAGCACAAGCCTATTCCAGCAAGCAATGTCCACAGGGCAGGGCACAACCTGGGCAGGACACCAGTCCACCACAGGCGACTAACACAGAGAAACATGCACACACTCGCACCAGGGCCAGTTGTTCCAGAAGGCTATTAACTCACCTGTGCGTCTTTAGACTGTGGTAGCAAACCAGAACACTTGTTGAAATCCCATGCAAACAGGTGGAGAACAAACTTCATACAGATACTGTAACACCCCAGGAATTGAGCACAGGGGCCCAGCTCTGTGTGGAAGCAATCCTAACCATTGCAGCATCGTGCCAGCCAGTACTTACACATATTTAGTCAAAATATTTAGACATCCTTTGATTTTTCTAGCCTGGATGCTTCTTTGGCAGTAGATCAGGTGATGTTATAAGAGCTTCACTATGCCCGAATGAACCCCAGAAAGTGTTGCTTAGAGAAACAGTGGGATCTGAGAAAGATGACGTTTTAAACTTATTTTATTAAAAAAAGGTTGATGAGATTGCTACCACTCAAGAGAGCCAAGTAGACAGAATGTAGCATCTTTTCAACTTAGAATGAGAAAAACTTAAAGCTGTTCTGATGCAAAGGAAGGAGGTGTGTAGTTATAGATTTCATTGTAGTGAATTACATAAAAAAAACATTACTGGTGTAAAATGTTGAATGTGCTTGTATAGTACTATTGGGCTCCAGTGTGACCTTAACACTATTTTTTTATTTCTTCCTTCAGGATCACTGCTTCTATCATGGCCATGTCAGGGGGCACACAGACTCATGGGTAGCTCTGAGCACCTGCACTGGCTTCAGGTAAGCAACGATACATGCACAGGATTTTCGGTTATTGGTAAAGAAAATAGCTAACAGATATAATCACCTTTAAGGCTCTACATGGATTAGCACCTCAGTACTTCGTCTGACTCTGGTCTCCTGTTCAGACATGGATGACAGGGCCTTCCCAGGCTGTGCCCCATAGCTCTGGAATTCCAGCCCCAGAGACTGAAAAGAGTCATGTTCCCTAAACTCAATCAAATCCACACTGAACGCTTTATTTTTCAGAAAGGCTTTTAATTAATTCAAACCCCTTTCTATAATTTTACTTATTCTGTTATCTCTTCTCTTTTTAATTATTTACACAGTGTAAAGAGCTTTGAGAAGCAACTTTTAAAGACTCTCTATAAAATAAAGATTCTTCTTCTTAAGCTGAAAGATGACCATTCAACTATTTTATTAAAATATTTCTATATTAGGATGCAGTGCAAAATGCTGCCATTTTCTTATTAGTTACCTTTTTACGCAAACAGAACTAGATGGGGAAGGATACAAGGCCTTCCAGGGGGCGCTATGATCGCAGATATGAGTTTGGGTTACTAGCTGACTGTGACTAGGATTCCCCAGCTGGTTTGATTGCTCTGGGCTCTCTTGACTCTCAGTGACACAGTGACCTCTTGTGGCCTTTTGGGGTGTTGCAGAGCTATCGGTGAGGGACACGCCTCTCCCCATTCAGTTCTGAACCTCTAGTATGGTGCGGTGCCGCCTCTGATGTGCTAAAAGCCGATTGACTCCAAGGTGGGCAGAGACGAGGCACTTCCTCATTCTCTACATGATCATGGGGCTTGTAGCTGTGAATCAAGACATGAAAACACTGTTGTCTCTTCCAAATTTTCAGGTTAAACAGAAATAATTGCCAATTCTAAAACAAAAAAAAAAAGAAATGGAAAGAATCTTTAGGTCTCTTTCAGTGGTTTTAGAATTCCTCTGTGGAGGGTGTCTATGGTCCCCAGAGCCACTGGATGCTCTGGTAAGCACTGAAGGGCCGGCTGAGGATTATCAAATCCCTTCTCTACAGATCCTTCCTCTTTTTGCAGGAAACACAGCAGTAGTGAAACCCAAAACTCAGTTTCTGAGTGCTTCCGTTCCTGTACAATAAGTGGAATCGAAAGATGTGCCGTTTCCACTTTTTCCCAAATGGTTCCTTATAACAGCTCCTCACGGACTTTCCACCTCCTCCACGCTCTAACCATAGACTCTTCCCATCTTTAAAGATTTGCCGAACAAGATGGTTAATTATAGGGCTGATCTGTTCCCTGTTCCTTTGTCACTTTTTTGTAAATAGACACACATTTTATAGGTGCAGTAAACAAGTAATTATCCTCTTTGTCTTACTGAAAGGCAGAAAAAAATCTTTAAGCCTAACACCTGCATTACACCAAAAACTGGATGAGAATGTCATGCTGGGTATTCTTGAAGATCTCATTTTGAACTTAAGCGAACTCTGATGTAATCTTCCTACTCAGTACAGATTCTCTGAAGATGTTTCCTTCTGTGTCTGTATTACCCGTGAATCCTTGCGTGGTCGAGGGGGTAGTTTTCAATGGCCTTTCAGAATTCAGATGGTATTGACTCTGACGTCTACTGTTTTCTCAGAAGTCTGAAACACCCACTGCAATCGTGTCATGCGTGCGTCCACTGTGGTACTGTCACAGAGTGACAGCAGTTGAGGAAGGACAAAGACTTACAGTATAGGCTGTGATTAACTGAATTTGCATATATAGTAGCTAGTGATTTTGCCAGTGTAGGTGTATTGTCTTTCTCCTGTGTGTCTGTTTCCTCCCACTAGTCAAAGTCTTCAAACACAGACAGTGGGACAGGAGACAGGTACAGTAGCACACATTTAAGAGCACATAACTGTTACCATCCTTAAGGATAGGCACATGGGGGGGTGTGGTGGAGCTGAACCAGTTTGGACGTCACATTTGACAGATCGGGAGGGAAAGGAAGTGAAGGAGCCAGAGGCTTCACGACACCCGGAGAGCTGCACACTGACAGTTCTTAAACAAGCCATTTGCTCCAGCACTTGCAGACTAAAGGAGGCCTTAGCAACAGAACTGGGGACCTGTGCCTGGATTTTGATTTCCTGGGGGAGAGAAACAAAGGGGCAGGCCTGGAGAGCTGGTATTGAGGGAACAGACAGAGTGCAAACAGAGCAGAACCTGTGGGAGGATTTCGAGTACAGCCTGGCTATCACAGAGACTGTTACTTGTGTTCGTACTGCTTTGTCTACTCAGCAGAGATCATGGCAGGCAAATGTATTTCTTTAAGAAATACTAGATATACTAGTTCTGAATAGGGATGTCTCTGGGAAATGCTTTGTGTTGCTGGTTTCTGTATTTTGGGGTAGACAGTGAAGAGTATTGTACTTATTAGAGGATGAGGATAATAATAATAATAATAATAATAATAATAATAATAATA